GGGTACCGTACCTCTCCGTACCCAGTCGTCTGCCGCATCAACATCGATCCACGTCTGGCATTTGAAGTATTGCTTGGAAACTGTTTAGAAGGACAGATGCAGATGCAATTACTGCTATTTTTTTTAAATTGCTAATGTCTAGTTCAAAAAGAAGGTGTGCGTGAGAAGAGAGATTAATAGTTAGGAGGTGAGTTACTCGGATGCACTAATTAGTTTGTGAATGAAACTCACTAGGTCAACGTTGAACTTTAGGAGATTGAAAAGATCTTAAGTAAGAGGGAAGTTTTGAATTTAGCTAGAGCAAAAGTTCAACTTTTAGAAAGTCTAACTTTCTATTATGGACTCAATACAAAATGCAGTATGACAATTACGTCGAAACCAACTAGTATTTTTACTACTGTAATTCTTGGCAAACTCGGGTAATTTTTGGCACGGTAGGGGGATGAAATCGCGGATTTGTACTACCTAAAAGCTCGTAGATCAATCACCATGATGATTATAACGCTATTTACTTTTAGTGTTGTAAGTGGTTTGTTGGTATTTATCTAATTGCTAACTTAAATTCTCCCAAAATCATTGGCCACCAATGATAGAACCTTGTTTCCAAAACAAGAGCATTATCATTTCAATCATTCTTTAGACTCTGCGGTTTTTCACCGCCAGTAAAGAAACTCGAATTATCAACAACGTGCGAGTGATACTATAGCAAACGCACTGACACGTTGCTATTGGGATGATCACAGGCAAAGGGAAGCAACGCGAGAAAGAGAGGTGAAATGGATAGATAGGAGAGGGAAAAAGAGGAGAGCGAGTGTGTGGTATCATTATCGCGAAAGGCTGACGACGAATCACATGCGGCGGTGTCGCGAGTACTGTAGATGCTGTTAACGCCGTCATCGACAGGCTGCAACAGCCATTCACTCCATCGCATGCTAAATGAACAAATGAGTAGCGAGGCATTTGAATGATGAATGAAATCTTTATACTAATATCGTCTTTCCAAGACTCAAAAAGAGCGAGTTAAACTAAAATTCTGAAGTATAGTTGGTTTCTGACATATTCTCAGACAATCACCGGAACTTCCTCAGGACGAGCCAAATTTGCAGAAGTTCCGCAGGATTTTGTTTACACTGAAAAAGTCGAAACGTTGGAAAATGGGAACTTCCGCAGGATTTTCATGTCAAACTGGTTGAAAGTGGGAACTTCCGCAG